CACCGGAATTCTCTTTGTACTTAAGAAGATAGGAAAAGTTATGGTAATAGGAAATCTTGTATTAGTATGAAGATAGCCCAACTTTGAACAGTTATATATATATATAACCGACTTGCGTATTTTGTACAAAGTAATTTCATTTTAAATGAATTGATGTACCGAAAGGGAGTTAATTATTAGATTTCCACCAATACAAGGTAACCATGCAAACCTGTCTATTTCATCTGCAGTTGATGGCGTTTAACACGTTCGATGATACGGCAGTTGGTTCGTCTGTCACCTTGAAGGTTTATCTCAACTCACCGGAACTGGGACTTCGTTTGTCTCGCAATCGGCCTTCGGTAATTTTCACCGATTCGTTTGTTCGACTCAGTTCTGCGTACCTCGCGGCCGGTATTGGATCATCTAATATTGTTCGTACGTCTCTTCAGCTTTCCATTTAGCTCAATTTGCTTTTGAGATTTTCTATATGTATGACTTTGTTGGTAAACACACGCAAACGTGGCTTGATCAAACACGCGGTGTTTATATACATTTATACATTTAAGGAAAAACGCCAACTGGCAGTGCTTCTATGTGCTTAAAGATTGTTTCTACTCGTAGCACAAACTAAACAGGACAAGTACGAAAGTATTAAAATCTCTGGAACGCACGTTTCTTCTAGCCACTCGGTGTGACAGTTGACTGCAGTGATCATTTTACATGACGAGTCAGTTTTCTCACTTTCACCCGTGTTCAGAATTTAATACTGAAGTTTAAAAAAAATAGGAGATTTTAATGCATTGTTTTTTTTGAAGAAAATAATCATATTGTGTCCAAAAGTGGGAAAATTCAAAAATTAGAAAGAGAAAATTGTTCAACAATTAGTTATCTTCAGTGCCATTGACAAAAGACTAACTGAATGATATTGACTTCAAACAAAATTTCAAATATTTTCTTTTTCACTCCTCCCTGAGCCTACTTGTTTCAGTTCTTAATGTACCTTTGTAAAAAGCGAACACAGTTATTTTAGTTTTTATCTTTCATGTTAACAGAAGCTTTCTGTTAATGCGTAGGACTACTGTAATAAAGGTTGTTCCTCAATATAAAAGTACTACAGTGTGGTTGCATTTTTTCATTTATGAATAGGAATTTTCGGAACGCACAGTGGGGCTCGTTATCTCTTCATCTTCATCTCAACTCATATTTTTATTTGAGGAAAAATTAGTGACTGCGATCCAATACTCGCCCAGGAACTACATACTCCCGCCATAGAATAACGACAATTCATAACGAAATGCTATTATGCTTCTATATTGTCTAAATTCACTGAAGCGAAAATCAAGTCAGCTGTTATCTGGGTTTGCTAGCAGATACCCTGCTTGCCAGAGCATCAACCAAAAATACACTCTAACTACCAGCTACATAACTCAATTATCATTATAAGTAAATCTGCTCATCGCTAGGTTGGTTGATTTCCAGCAACGCCTAGGCTTTATCCGTGTAATGCATCTTTTTATACTTTATTGAATCCTCAAGAATTATCCAAAGGGATTTTGACAAATGTTTTAAAGAAAGCCATAACTTTGAAAAACAGAAGAGTTATTTTCGGTTGAGCAATGCTGCTCAACTTATGACCCAAATTTATTTAACGAATAAAATCTTAACCCTCAAACACTTTTCCCCACTGTGTTGTGTCTCAGAAGCGTTTATTTTTATCACAGAAATCTATTATTTATATCAATTTTAGAGTAGATATGAACTTCCATAGATTTTCAATGCAAGTAATGTTAAAGTATTTTTACTACTCACATTTAGAATCGTAAAAGAATAAACCCAAGCGCTTTACAATGAATTAAAGATTTTATCGTCAAATACTGAAATTCTGAATTGACTGTCTGATGGGAATGAAACTTCCAGCAAGTATGTCAGCTTTTCTAATCATGATGATTGCTTAGTTCATTTTGCACTCCGTACAATCATGAACGTTCGGTGTCAGTGCCTTCTTAATGCAGTGCAATAATATGTTATTTTGAGTGTGTTATTTTAACTTGAAGAAATAAATTTAATATTGGGAATTCACAACTATATTCTCTTATTCAAGGAATATAGTTCTGGTAGACTTTTTCATTGAATTGCTGTACTAAACATTCCGCTTGAGAGCAAAATAAATCAGTCCCCGTACCATACGGATTCCAATTTATTGGTCACAGAGATTTTTGAACTGGAATGCTCCTCCGGCGCCTCTGTCAGTTCCGTGCAGTTGTTTCAACTTACCAATGACAAATACGAATTATAGGATTTGAAGTTTTGAATTCACTTGACTCAGAAGAGATTCTGTTATCTCTGTTACTCACGGCATACAATGAACTTAGAATTCACATAAATTTCAATTTCATTTTGCTAGGTTGTTCCAAGTTTCCCGCGAGTAACGTATCTTTTGTGTCGAGTTCCAAAGATTACCGTGTATCTCAGGAGCCAAATACTGACAATGTATTACTGCTTTATTTTGTTTGGGTTAATAAATTTATATGATTTTTAATGCAGTGACTCTCTATTTGCCAGGCCAAGCATTGTCTTCTGCACACAGTAATTTGGTTACACCACCACAGTGTTATTAGACAAGCATTTGTTTTGTTACTGATAAAGTGACGTATTCGAAAATGATAAAAAAATTACGAATGTGACAAAACTGCAATAATAAAAAGTCAATGCAACCGACTTTTCGACCTGCCCTAGTTAATAGACATTTGGCGGATGTCCTATAGGATGGCATTCACGGGAATAATGGACTTCTGAACTGAAATATGTTATTCTTTTGCCTTTCTCAAAGAACCAAAGGCAGCCTTAACCCGATACTGGTTCTCTTCTTATATTCATAACTTGCCCGCACATAAACACACGCCAAAGAGACAGTTTCAGGTTTTTACTTTTCAGAACTAATAACTTGGAAAACATTGCTACTGCATGAAAACTTTACCTGGGAACTAACGAAAATGAGGGAAATAAGGAATGCAGCATATTCATCTTATATATAAAATCAGTCGTTCAAGAATACTACGAAAATTTGTCGTATAGCGTGGGATGTTGCATCCTCAAGTGGGTAAAATTTGTGCGTTCCTGTAACAGGAGCCAAAATCAAACACGAGGAATTCGTCATAAATCTTGTCGTTATTACATTTCCATAAAAACGAACCTTGATAAAAAGGTAGGTTTTACGAATAATTTTTATTTCATTCAATTCCCATTTACTTTGTCAAAAATTTCTGTGAAAAACGAAACCCTTGGCATTCGTTTACCAATAAACACCACTTTGATGAAGTTTCTAGCAACGAGGTTGTACGTTTTTTGGTTTTAAACGGCTATTTCGGTCTATTGATTAACAAGATGCTATTTATTCTGAGATATTGAATCGTTCTTAAAGGCTGTTGCCAAGATTTTGAAATAACTCGCAGATACAAGCCACGTTGCAATTTGCTCTTGTTGAAGTACATGTAAGTCACTGAATTTTAATTTGTTTACAAGATCGGTCAAACTGTGTACACTAGGCATTAACATGTTAGACTTCTATATTCTCTGATAGATCACGACAAACCGTTGTGTTATTCTGCAAAGTTGGATACTTCTGACCTTATGCTGCTAAACAGTGACCGAAGAATTTGTTGATAACGAACAAATCCTCTTCATGCGCTTAACTCTGAGATCCTTCTATACGATCATAATCTTCCAACTGTTCTTCAGCTATTTATTTGTTATAATGACTGTTTTCTGTCTGTCTGTGACTGTACGTGATTATTTTCCCCTAAAGCGAGGTGAATCGCACATGCACGTGCTGTCAATCAAAACACAATCACGCACATGAAAACGCAGTTCCATTCTTCCTAGTGTTTTATTGAACATGGATGGGGTGCATGCGGACTCAAATGCGCTAACTAACCAACTTGAAAGTTTATGTTATGGCCATCTGCGAAATGCAAATGGTAATCTCACTGTGTCGTAGATTGGTAATCTTCGCAGGACTATCTATTGAGGATCAGTCCTGGGGTTGTCTAGGAACTGTGTCGATGCATCAGGCGTTCATACTAAGACGTTTTAAAATGTAACTCTCAGCCTTAACTACGAAGGGTTAGTTCATCGTGGCCCTTGGGCATTTGGTCTACACATAGTTTTAAGTTTCGTGAATTGGATAAAATTTATAAACTTTCATTAATCATAGTTTACGGCAATTGACGTTCGATCTACCGGTTCGATTCTGTCGTTTCACTTTCTGTATCTTTTTACTCATAAGAAAAATTGGTAAGCTAAAAATACTAGTCGTGACCAAAAGGTGCCGAACCCAGGCAAAACGGTCGGTCAGAAGAGCAAGTAGACGTATGTGTTGTCATTGGCGATACGATCATATCACTCAGTGTCTCAAACTGCTCATTTGAATACGGAATATTAACATGGCGCACACGGATTAGTTTAATCAGCTACAGGGTCTGATCACTTCTGAATTTATTTGATCACCTGGCTCAAGAGTACCTTTAACCTCTTGAGCACAATGAGCTCAGAGTAGTTTGGCCGAGGCAGTACTATCAATTTGGGTTATCCCACTATGACGTATCATGGCTTTTAATCAGGGTAGGCAGACTTTTTATGTTGTCAAATTGAGACCCCGGGAAACCAACCTGTACGACAATATAGCCAGGCTTTGTTGGGAGACTTGTTTTGCCCGGCGACAGTGGAAGTGGTTGCCTTTCGGTTAGGGTGTAAAGAGGTTTTTTGACTTCGCGCTTATTGGTTTAAAGTATTATCGAAACTATGATCAGTAAAATCTATGTAGTAAAACTACTCGGATTATTTGGAAATGAGGTTTATATCATGAATTACAACAATAGTTTCCTGGTGATGGGTAATTATCATGGTAGTTAGTTTTCGAACCAAAAATAGATTAGGCACGAAAATGGGACTAAACAGACATACAAATAAGTAATAAAAGTAAGAATATCGAACGAATACATCAATTAAAAGTGCTGATGAGGAATGCATATTACAAATGTTCTTATATGCCTTAGAATTTTAAGTTAAAAATGTTTTTTGACTGATTTCAGTTTACCCAACCGATTTCTCTAATGGTGAATTTGTATGTTTGTCTAGGAAACTAATTTGAGGTTATACATAGTTACTATCTTCGTTCTTCTAGGGTAACACGATATGATTATGAAGCAAGCAGTGCCCGTCAGCGATTCTCCATAAACATTTTCGACATGTCGACATTATTTGTCTGAATTTCACCCATATTTTCACAAAGTAACTTTTAGTCCCACCATTTTGAGTTGAGTTACGGTTTAACCGTCCAATGTAACGAATACCTCACTTTCTCAAAAACTGAACGTAAATACATATCACCGAGTGCAGTTGTCTTAGTTTCAAACCTTTGTAGGAAGTGACGTTGTATGAGATGAAAAATGGGATATCTTTGGCTTCTTTTAGTGCTCATTGTGTATATAAAAGTTACGACGTAATGTAAGGTTGATGACAATATGGTACAAAATTGAATTTAGGTCTCTCAGTCGCTGTGTTTTCTGACCTTGAAAAATTAACCAGAAGAAACGATGGAAAATTGTTTTGTACAGAGCTAAACATACAGCAGAAATTTGTTTTTGAAAAAATAAACATTAGAATCATGATAGCTACCTTACATATGATCGTTTATAATTGTGAAATATTTTTTCCAAAATCCTTACATAATATTTTGATCTCTTTTTATGTTATTCAGCGGACATTCAGTACGAGTTGAGAACTACCTATGGAGGATACGTGGCTTTCGTTAACAATCCCTATCGAAGTATCAATATGTTTACACAAAGTGATATCGATCAAGAACGTGTGATATTTGTGCATAACGGTGAGCTGTGCTTCTTTGTAAAGTAATGAAAATGTGAAAATGCTAGAGAAATGCATTTGCGAAGGTGAACGATCACCTTCCGATTTTTTTTCCAAATTATTTGTTCTTTTTGTGATGGGAGAGATTATTCAGTTTACATCAACACGTCTTCTTAACTCATTTGAAGACTAATTTAATATGCCTAAATATGTCCTAAGGAGAGAGAGTATACGAAGTAGCGTTTAGACAAAAATGACATAAGACTTTCGGGGGCGTATTTGGAAAATCACTTTATCACCTTTCTTTTTCGAATTTGTGGCTAACATTGAACTGATGAATTCATGATATTTGCTTCCCGAATAAGCGGTTTATAGTTTCAACTTCATTGTGTGAAAATGTATCCCATAAACGAAAGCTCTCATCGTCTTGGGGTGGCTTTCACGCAATATTCATAACACACTACAAGTCCTTTCTTGGTCTGAAAGTGATGTCTGTCCCCAAAATGAGGCTGAATGTAAAAGCAATTCAATGTTCCTCATTTTTGATTCTTTTGAACACCCAACCCTGCTCTACCTCATTCTGAAGAATTTCAAATTTCACGAAGCTAATAATTCAGAATTATTGTCTGCTAACTGACTGAATGTTTCCAACGATTATTAATAATTTGTTTGATTCATTCGTTTTACTCAAAAGATCATCCTTTCACAGTGCGCCTCAATTAATATCTACTCTCTTCGAACTCACCAGAAAATACGTATGAATTACTGACACCTATGCAATAATTATAGGTTTCTGTAGAATGCTACGAAGTCGGTTTGCAACCGTTTATTTATTTATCACTGGAGTGCAAACAAGTCTGATACAACACGACAGCTATAGAAATAATAAACGACAGAACAGGATGGGATCCCAGTACACTTCAGAAAGAAGTGCGAGAACATCATTTACAGGGACAACTGTGTTTTTGCTTATTGTACTGTGAAATTTGAGAGCAATTTTTATGTTTGTCCTTCCATGGGGCATGGGATTACAACATACAACGTTAGCAGCATTCAATCCACTACCTTCTGTTTTATGGTGATTTTTGAGCGTATCTAACCAACAGCAATTATTATCCCGTGGGCCCCAGTCTGGAAAGCGGGATACATTATTCTAAGTTCATCGTAAAGCCCAATTCTTCATATCCATACTATCGGTCGTAGTCTGATCGCTGCGACGCTTCTCCTCGCCTTGCCGAGCAAGTGAAAAATGAGCAAAGGAAAGGCAGAGGACGGGCAGGCATACGCGTAAAACGTGACCTAGTTATCAGGGATGATTTCAGTTCAGTTCAACACTACTTACACACTATGTTTTTTCTAACACAATATATTCCATAGAATTCGCACCAGCGAATGAAATCGCTGCATTACTTCCTAAATTGAAGCCTTACGGCAAAGACGTATGCACTAGAAGTGTTTGTGTTTCTATTCAAAGACCGAAAGTATTGACTATTCAAATCACCTTCTCCTTTAAGACTCTATTCACTTTCAAATCTGATAGGTCACGATGCGAGCTATTCTTCTCTTTCTAGTCAACGAAACCAGCGTGTGTTCTCCATACAGCACATAACTATGAGTAAACAAATGTCGCAAGTCGAGGTGCCAAATGTGACTCCACGTATTCCAAAGAAACCCACAATGGCAGCTGTAAAAGCTGATTTTTTCCCTGAAACATCTACCCAATAGTATAAAGGTTATTCATGTTTCCAATAACTTCAAGACATATCTAGTTATCACACTGAGGTACCAATGGTTTGAACGGTCTCAAGGCTATTTCCTTTAAGCATTTTGGTATTGTGCTGTCTGACAATATTTTCTCAACCAATTTTGATGAAGGCTTTGAAGCATGAAATCGCAATCAACATTTTCAGATTGGAGGAAGTTGGGATGCCCCAAGCTCCTTCTTTAATTGGTAATTACAGGCATGATTCTCCTCTAGTTATTATTATTCTCTTATTTTTCTTGGATAAGGAGTCAGATAAATTTTTTTTTCCGATCGCCTTAAAGGTCTTTGGTCTTAAAACAATCTAAACAAAAAGACACCGAGATTTTTTAGTTAGGAGTATGTTCTAGATTTGTGACAAGTTTGGTTATTGAACAGTGAAGGGTAGGGAGCATTTTATAATGAGGTTTAGAGCAATTCTCATTTTTATTTAATTGTTGCTCGTTCCATCACCTATATTTATACTACCATACTGAATGAGGTTATATCATGCTACCTACACACCCGTTGTTTTTAACTTTTTGGAGTGATTTTGCATGTATACTACTAGTGTCCCTCTCCTTCCTGTTTGTGATTTCTTATGATTCAAAACGTGATTATTACTTGAGTAGGTAGCCTCAGTTCATATCAAGTATATCTCTTTTTGGTTTTTCTTAAATGCAAATAAAACATTTCACACACCAACAACACGACTAGTCTCTCCCTAAACTGAATCTGATCCACCAAATCTGTAATTGACTCGTTCAATAATCGCTGCTGCAGACAGTATAACCAACATATATTAAATTCTTTACAGGTGGAGAAACCGCAGCTGCATGTGGATTTGATTTTCATCTAAGCTACGGCCAAGAACGTTCCAAAAGGCGTTTTCGCTATGCGTTTGATGTTTATCGAGCTCACATCGAGACAATTAATCACCGAACGCTCGAGGTGTTCCCACTTGGGTGAGTTGAAACAAACAAACAAACAAACAAACCCATCAGAGTAGTTCGATTAGGCACGCATTTGATCGGTCGAAGCCGGTTTTGCAACAAGCTTTGACGAATGCAGTAGAGCGAATCAAAGCGAAATTGGGTGGTTTTTCCAAGATGTGCACAATGCGGATCTGTTTCCACAAATAACAATATATCTAGCATATTGAACGGTGTAAAATGTTTATTCTCCGTTAGGAAATTCTAATTGCAAATTTGATTTGTCTCCGTTTTGTTAAATAAAATTAGAATTAAAAGTGGTGAAAACAATCAAAGCGTGGGTACACGTGGGTGGGAGTTGGGACCCTACTTTATTAAGTTGGTTTTCTCATGGATAGTCCTTAAGTCGACGGACTACTGGAACCCATCAGAGAACTAGAAGTATTCTTTAGTTTTATCATAAATCATGAACCGTGCATACTCGTTTATTCATTCAGATAATTATATTTCATACAAATAGTTAATTTTCCTCCTGTTGTGTTGGCTTCATCTTCCTTTGTAACAAAATTGAAGACAACCAGGATGTTTGCAGCAGCTATCTCAGTTTCTATAACAAAAGCCCGTCAGTTAGCCCAATCAATAATATTAAAACATATGGTTCCAAGTGTTATGTGATATTCTTCTCTCTGGTAAGGCGGTTTACAATTATCAATTTATGTTATCCCTTTATGCAATTAGCTTCTCTCAGATGATGACTGTTTAAAATAGCTTCGAGTAATCAGTCGGTGAAGCGCATATATATTTCCTTATCACCTCCTTGAGAATAAACATAAAGCCAACTCAACAACAAGAATAACAGAGGATGAAGCGTATCGTTATTTGTGTTAACTGGGCTGTTATCGCTTTCGTAAAATGTCTTTTATGAGCACTTCAGAAGCTAGATGTAGTAGCACCTCCTCCTATTATATTCCTATTCATCAGAATCTCAAAAGATAGTTTAAAAGCAATTTTGTTTAAAACAATTGCGAAAATTGTATGAAACAACGCCACTTTATTTTGAAACTTCGGTGTTTTGTGCTGATATGTTTGTAAAAACAGCAGGGTTGTTACAAAGTTATGTTTTTACTACCGTCAACCGTGCACTTTCTTGTGGTGGTTGTGATTGCTACCTAAAGGTTGCTCGTTTGAAAAAAAGAGCAGAAGGAAGACTGGAATGTTGAGAGCAGCGTCAACGAAGATATAAGGAATTCAAATAAACCAGAGTTGCAAGGATGATGGTTAGGTACGCGAGTGCCAGTGTTTGCGACACTTAGCCGTATCACTCTAACCAAAAGTTACCATAATCTCGGGGTCTCCATGCAGGGAGCCTAACCTGGCCTAATGACCGAGTCTCTTGATTAGGATGTTCATAGCCTCTTGACAGGTCATTATTTGACCGTCCTTGGACTTTATCCACTACCTGCTTCGGCAAACATCGTGCGCCGTGGCAACCTATTTCTTGACATGCTTAAGGTAGGGTTTTGAGTGAACTCTTAGCTGATATATGTATGCATGTATGTATTTATGTATGTATGTATGTATGTATGTATGTATGTATGTATGTATGTATGTATGTATGTATGTGTATGTATGTATGTATGTATGTATGTATGTATGTATGTATGTATGTATGTATGTATGTATGTGTGTATGTATGTACTTGCGTATATAAATATAAGTTCAAAATACCCAATAGCACACGTAAATAAAATGCACAATGGAGGATGCAATCATTCTCCGTGACTCTTAGTCGGGCCAAGTGTATATTTATGTACATCACCAGCCAACCAAAAACTAATTTGAGAGAGCACTTCATAACACTTCATAGGTTCTGTCTTGAGACCATCGATGGAAATAACGCAGAACAATCAGCTCAAGATTTTTATTTCTCCGATTGCACATTTTATTTCAGATACAGGGCCGTTATTCGTAATTTTGTTTCATTTTGTACTCTTTCATTTGATCACATTACTTGGGCTTTATCCGTCACACTTATGGAACAGAAAACATTATTCTCATTCGAGTTTCATAAACGTTAGGAAAACTGTATACACGGAAAATGATTTGAACATATAACTCAGTATGAGTTTAACTGAATTCAAACTAATGGCTCTTTATAATATAATGTACTTGCACCTAACGAACGAAACGGGGCATGATTTTATGAAATCAAATTCAGCTTCATTTCTTGCGCTTCAGGAAATACATACAGTTGTTCTTCTTTCGCAAACTGAACGGGTAAAACGATCACGATTATAATTATATTATATAAAGTCTAGACTTTCTGGTTTATTCTTTTACTAGTTTTGTTTTCAAAATGATTGACATGTCGATCAATCATCTCCGAAACGTTAGTATTTCTCAGATTCAGATGGTTTATGCTCCGTGCCCCCACAATCTCCATTCCAAATTAGATTAAGGACTGTTTCTCATCTTTGAATTTTGTATGAGAATTGTGCAATAGAGACGTTCTATGGGACTCAATAGCCGCTTATCTGTTGGCGTTCAATTGTCTACCAGTGTGAAATAAAAAAATGGAAAACTCAAGCTGCTACTCGATGGTTCAGCAAACGCAAGATAATATTGTTACTTATAAAGTTAACCAAACTGTGTACTTAGCACCTAAGATTGTTAATATGAAGTTGTGCTTTGAAAGACTCCTAGGATGAAAATAAATCACACAGGAAGAAAGAACTGTGAAATGCTTATAGACGAGGGAAAATTGAAGGGTATACAGTTTTCGGAATTGTACACAGAGCGTCTTGTTAGAACCAGAGGTTGTGAAATAAAATGTACGCACTCGTAGTTTCTATTAAATGAACTCGAACCATAAAACTTACTGAACTGTCATTGCTTTTATTGCTGTGTTCCTTTGAAACAATTTTAACTGGATGAGCAATCTTTCTCATATGGGAGAAGCAACCAATCATTAGATTGCTTTGCGGTACAAGTCACAGGAAATTGTGAATTTGTGAATCGAACTCACAAGCTGTGTGAAGAAATACATTGATGACTTCAATCTCTCACCACTTGGTGCTGTGGTTTTTACGTTCAACCGATGAAACATCACCGAGTGACTTCGCACTGAACAAAAACTGCAGGTTTCTTTTTATTAAAGGTGAAGAACGAAAAGCAAAGTTTTCATACAGGAATAAACAGATCGGACTTCCGAAGTGATGTTGCCGTTCTCTGTTCAAATGACCCTCCTTTTTATTTATATTAGTGACTAGAGAAATGCATCTAAATACAAACATATATGCAACTGAGCTCATTTCATTGGCTTCAAAACGCTATTAAGGTCCTAGACCCTGAGATGAACGAAATTTTGGAAATGTTTGCAACTACTAAAGATGAGATTGAGTTGTAAAACAATGACAACCAAACCATGTGTACACTCACAAAATCGCTTGCTAGGGTTTCACTTCCTTCACACTATTCAGTGATAATAGGTTCACTATAGCAACCTAAACACTACACTATACAGAGGTATTCTTACGGGACAATAGCGATTGGGAATTTGGTGCATTTTATAAAACTAAAAGTGGTTCATTCAGACGGCTCTCCGGTGTTGGTTTTGGACAACCTGTGCCACATCACCGACTTAAAATCACTGGATTCAGCAATTACATAATCCTCTTCGTTCACAATCAAACAAGTAGTTAATCGTAAACCTGATTCCTGTCCAATATTTGTGCAACTACCCTTATTTCTTGCACTGTAAGAAAATCCGAACTGCTTTGGCCGCATTCAATGAAAAAAGAATGGAAATATAAGAAAATCTCAACCAACTTTACCGTTTTGTGTTGATCGGTTTGATACCTTTGTACAGTATGGGCTAAGGCTTGGTTTACCGAAAAATTCAAGTCATTGAAGTGCAATAACGGAAAAACAGTGATGAATTAAACCAAACAACATAAATAAACATGTGAATCTGTGAGCCGCCTGCAATTGGAATACGGAAAATGTTCAAAAGGGATATCAGGAAATGAAGAACTACTTGTCTGTTTTCAGTAATATCTCAGGTATAACCACTTTGACAATACGTTGAGTTTTCCAGTCATTTAAGACCTTAGTTTAACCGTGATAAACTTCAATGGATGGTTTTTCTCCAATGTTCGAAAGGCTTTATGAACCCAGTAATTTATTATTTTATACGCAACAAAACAAACGTGAGATTCGTATTTAATTTCTCAGTGTTTCCTCTGCTCTTCTGGTAGCAGGCTATTTTCGATTTGTATAAACTAAAAGAATTCGGTCGTAAAAACATGCGTCTTTCGATAATTGTGTGAAACTGAAGTTAACTCGTGCAGAATTGTCCTGACAATTGTTGGAATGCGATATCTTTAGTGAGAATGTCAAATCGCATTGTTTTTCTTGACGAACGTATTCCACCACAACGCAATCGATCCTTTTTCAGATTTGAACAAATTCAAACTTGGCATTTAAGTCATCGCGTTCGTCTGGAACAGCAGCTGCAAGGGGATGGAACGCAATATTCAAATCAAAGGTCATCGAACGAATGGCGGAACACACGTGGGACCATAAACACAAATCAACCAGTAGTGACAGTTGCATATGCAGTTTTGTCACAACCGTCACACGGTCGTCTGATTAGACTAACCTCCAATCCAGGTTTAATGGCAAGAATTAGGAACGAAGGATTGCGAAATGTGAAACATTTTACCCAAGTAAGTTTTCAACATTCCTTTATAAAATCTGGGGTAGGAAAACAGAGGATACACTAAACTGATTAGAAATAAGTTTTTTACGATATTCCGTTGGGTGCTGCAACCAGATTAAGTACCAGGTCTTTTACCCATCGATATGTATTTTGCAATAATAACCGTCAAGAAGTGGAGAAAGGTTACTACATAAAGCTTTTAATTTTTTTTATTATATATGTTAACTGTATCATAGTTTTAGTTATTGCATCTTACTGAATGATTTATATATCTGCTACGCTTTAAAGTCGAAAAGATAACCCCGAACCCTTTGATCACACATTACGCTATTACACATTTTCTATTGAGTTTTCATCAGATGTTTAGCATGTGCTTTTGATTTCTGATAACATTAAATAGTGTGGTAAGTTTTGTAGTGGTCCGATAAATCAGAACTACGGTTTCTAGCAATAACGTTTACAGTACCGCTTTATCACGAAAATCAGTTTATATTCCTTTCTGTTATCAAAGGCGATTAACTTCAGTTATCCTCTCACACAATTATGTCTAGTGTGTAATTGCTGCATAAACCAAACCGATTGAACCTGAAGCTGTTTGAACCAACCTTTGGATAAAAATCGAGTGTTAAAGTAATTTTTGGTAGTTCCGTGTGCATGATATCCGGCATTTGTATATCCACGACTTACATCAATGACTGACAGTTGGTGAATGATTTCGATCAGTCGATAAGTATCCACGTCGGTGAATACCTGCGTTGAGTTCGCGAGAAAACCTTTTTTGAGGATCACTGCTAGTGCGATGACAATGAGTTCTCTGTCTGCTGTTATAGCTTGATTCGAAAGGGTTGTAAATTTGGAGGGTATGCTATATGTATGTATATACTAACCGTAAGAGACCAGACTTTGTATCAAGAAAATCACAATATAATTTTCATAACACCAAAAAAGGTTTACAATATGTCAGCAATGAAGAAAACGAAAACGCTAAAAGAAGCTTATCTGCAAAAGATGCGTAAGCTCACGAAACTTGAATTCTCACTGAGCGTTTGTATTTTTATTACATAGCCGGGCGTTATCACAACCAGCATTTTAAATGTATTTACACAAATTCTTGAGTATTTTGGCATTATTAACACATTATCGGATGATGCCTAAGTGTGCGCTTTCCTTACCTCCTATTTAGAATGATTTGGATGAAGGAAGGATTTTCTACGTGTTTGATCCGTTACCGAATACTGGAACTGTGCAACTCCACCATCAGAAAAGGATATCCATTCAAGGAGAACATCCGAGTTTTCAACAAAAGGTCCCGGTTTCATTACGTGGTACCACAATGGGATTGCAGCGAATCAGTGATTACATTCTTCTGAACGTTTCTGCTTATTATTCTTCCGGTGAAAAGTCATTTATCGTGCCATTCATGAGAAGTCATGTTGAGCGGTATTTGCAGTTTAACATTTCAGTATCTTTGCTGCATATCAACCAACTGAATCAGGATAGACTGTTCCTCATCCACCCGGTGATAGTGACCGAAGGAGGCACTGGCGAGTTTACCTGGGCAAATTTAAATCCCCAGCCTCTAATAAATCTGTATGAGCATAACACGGTAAGTTGTGACAAAGCCAAATGCATTTGGACACTTTTAAGATGAATGTTTTACGTTTTGTACCGATGTTTGATTCCATGTGTTTTAGAGACCAAATGCGGGAGGCTGCGTAATGTTATGTGAGCAACTAAATTACGACTGTTGAAATATTGGAAAAGACGGATGATGAATGGGAAACGAATCTCAACGTTCTGTCATGTATACTAGAATTCTCTAAGCATTGCGCGAGAAGGGATAATACGGCTGAGATGAAACTAGAGTTGGAAAACGCTCCAAGATTGATGACCAGTCCTATATCAGTGGAATAATACTTTACCCTTTATTTTCATCTGAAAATAAACTGATTAGTTAGTCAGGAATTTATCGGTTAAATTAAACCTGATTGATGCAGCAGCACCGAAAATGGTGAAATATTATTAGTGTAAGACTGTCGGTGTTCGAACACCACTGTCTGCGTCGCATTGCACCTGTTTACTGGGGAAACCTGACAGGTAGTGTTGAGGTTGGGCAGAAATTTTTTGTTATCCGCGGTGGCCGCCTGAGCAAGTGGTCAACCTCCATAGACTGCTTTGGAAAAGGCATGTGCTGTGCGTGTTACCAAATAGATAACCACGGCGCATGCTGTTTCTCGAGGTAGCCAGTGAGTGCAACACAAGACAAGGGTGATCATAAGCAGACTTGTCATGACCAGGGGACTCGCTCACGTACGCCTCCCAGATGGGGACATAGTAGTCAGCGTTATCAATGGTCAGAAACACCGGATGATACGGCTGATTGTCCTTAACAGTGGCGCTCTTACATTTACTCAATATCCTTTCAGCAATAGCCTCCATCGATTCTTTTTCAATGTAACACTGATGGGTACAAAAGAACGTTCAATTTACTCCTTTATCCAAATGGGAAGTTGTAAAACAGCAACCAAATACGAAGTGAGAAGGTACACGGTTAATTGAAATAAACAGTGTTAGATGCATTTTGAACGTTCTACATATAACATTACACCATTCAATTCAAGGTTAATTGTATGTATCGCAGTCCAAATGATACCGACAGGTCCTATTTAACAGTTAATTTCATCCAGGCTTGTAAAATTTGAAATTTTTCATCAAAAAGTCTAAGTGCTTAATTATTTAGTTATGTTTATTACACTCTAGTTGAACAAAACTCACTATCACGTGATTTTTATTCTAGTTTCGTGGTACACCGCATCGAGTGATTTTGTTATCATAATGTTACTGAAATTGACAGATGCAATTACTGGTGGGATGAACCTTGTCTTGGGCTTTAAGTTGACTCATTCTCGACTTTCTGATTTTATAGCTTTCTGACTTAAATGCTCTTCGTTTGAGACTGGTCAAACCGCCAGAGCATGGCGTCCTCAAATTAAGTGATGGATCTCCATTTCATGAAATGCCCCTGACTAACAACTCTATTGGTGGAAAGTCGTTTCGTGCATTCTATGTGCATGATGGGTCTGAGACGCTGTTTGATCGGTTCTTATTGCGGGTAAGTCTTTTGACCAAGTTAGATCGACCCCTCGTTTTCCACCAAACGCTAGTAGCATATAGTTTATAGAATATTCAACATTGGCGAAAGAAACTGGTTTACCAACGAAGCGGTTATCAGTTTAACTTCGTAAACTGTCTTTTTAATTCAAAGGACCCCTTAAAATTGATGTGACGTTTCATCATACTGATCTCTTTATTCACTTTATATATCAGTCCACTGACCCACACTTTTATTTGTGATTTTCGCCTTTGACATTTAATGCACTAAACATTGTTTCATCAAACGACAGGAGTAAGGATCACCATTTTCACTTACAAACTTATTGTGAAATGATTTTTCTCATAAACTAATGATGATTCGTGATCAATGTTAGGTTATTAGGAGACCAACAATTAATGCAATAATCACAGTGAACATTTATACATTACTCTGAGTGAGCTGAAGGTAAAAATATATAATTAGACCAATATATCTCCAGGAATGCCTAGTTTTGAAGTCGCCTTTTTTGGAGGCCTTAGGCAGTCATACAAAGTTTACCATAACTGGATCACGAAAGTGAACGGTTAGTGTTTGTGAAAACTGCACTGAACTGGAGGCCTTAGGTTTTCAAAAAATTTAGGAAACTCGTTCTAAGTTATAAAGTTTTGTAATAATTGTTTTCGCAGCTTCATGAAGTAGACAGCTTTGATGGCATTTTGTTCTAACTTAACACATACGGTTCTGGTGATTGTGTATTGAAGATAATGCCAATTTGGCATAGAGTTCTGCCAAACGACACGTTTATTGTCAATCATGCCTAAAACAATTTTGAGAACTTTGTAGACAAAGCACCAAGTTATAGGTACAGTGGCGGTGGCGGTGATGGTCAAGTGATTACGTCACCAACTTGTGACCTGCAAATCCCGGGTTCGAATCGCTCTACTGCCACCCGTATTCCCCACTTCTGTATTTTCTCAGGCAGCCTTTGTATGGCCGCGGCCACCGTCTTGAATGTTGACTGTACATTTGTATATTCAGTAAATAAAAAGGAAGTAAAAAGACTTATAAAGATTTAAAGACAGTATGAGTACAGAATCTTTTCTGTACCTGTAGTACTCTTTCCAACCATGGTTACTTCGACGAAATATCTACGATCATTGGCGAATTTATATATGCAAACATATGTGTAGACATATTTCTATGCAGTGTTACAGGACAAACGACTTAATGTATTTACAGACAGCTCGGAGAAGAGTATTTCTGAGGCTGATTAGAGCTCAGCGGGTAGTTAACTAACCAGCCAATGTATATGAGTATACCTCGCCGACGATGAAATACGATTCTCGTCGTTTGTAGTGTAGTCTTAGAAAACTTTGATGGGTAAACCACAAACGTTCAGAGTAAAAAAGAAAAAATGCACGGATATGAGCATGGCTGATCTGTGTGGCAGAACAGTGAAAACCTAGGAAGGCAGATTGCAAGATTCAATGAAGTAAACCCACTCGAACAGTTAACTACCCAGTCCCAAAGAAAGTTGTTGAATTGTGCGGCCTAGTTTCAGTGAGTAATAAATCTATTAAACCGTCCAAGTTTTTGTTGCGCCTTTCACATTTGGGACATCCAACACAGTCTGCTGTCCGAAAGATCTGGGGAGATTTTTACGCTTATTGTTGAGTTCTTTTGGTTCAATTATGTTCCTTTTCTACGTAGCTAACTGCTTATAGCTGACAGATCTGGCTATACTTCTAAGTGTTAGTTTTTCCGAGTTTTTCATTTGGCCAACTAACCTTGGCTATGAAAAGACGATACACAAGATTTCATCAGCACATGTTCTGAGTGAAAGTCTATCGGGAAAATCTGGAGAAAAACAATAACAGAGTTTCTTTCGTTGAGCAGAACGAACCTCATTAATAATTGTAATGAGTGTTGAAGAAATAAATTCCTTGGGCAAGAAAATGTTTATAATATCTAAGCAATGGGCAGCAAATTATTACTTTTGCCAAGTGACATTTTCTCCTCACGATTATTGTTCTGTTTTTAATACAACACATCACATATAAAAGCAACTTCCAGCGAAGAGTATTCGTAATTGCAATGGTTTACTTTATTTTCAATATCATGCCGAAGAATGCTAGCATACAATAACGCATAACTGAACAAGTGTGACTGTTTAGAACGTAATAGAAGGTAAAATTAAAATGAACAAGATTTTACGCCTAGTTATGTGGTTTGATCTAATCTAAAATCAGTACGTAGAAGAGAAAACCACCGAGTTGATACACTATAGATTAGTGAATTTTGTATTTTCTCCTAAATGTACTACTTGCGGGTCTGAGTAATTAGGAAATGCGAATAACATTGCCGTATCCGAATTGAACCAATTCACATCGATTGATTATTGTCTGTTTCGATCGCTTCAATTTTAGCTGCAGGACAAAAACGATCCAATCGTCATGGGTTACAATGAAACTGGAATTGAAATTCCAGTTCACATCAAATCCGTCAATGACCAAAGACCCCGACTCATTCGACCTAGTTCTCGGCCGAACCACGTGCATGTCTCACAAACAAACGACAAGGTGTTATTTGAATGTCTGGTAGGGCTCACTATGGTCATTTCTGATCGTTGGATTTACGCAGTGGACGGGGACAGTTCAGCCAGTGAAATTCTTTATGAACTGGTTTCCCATCCGGAATTCGGTGCGCTGTGTCTACTCCCTACTGAAGTCACTAATGATTCGCTGTTGGAAACACACACACATTGTCGTCCGTGTACAGATCCGTGCCTGTTCAGCCAAGAGGATGTCAATGAGAATCGGCTGATCTATGTCGCACAGTATCATCCGATTGTCTCTCCCATTCTCGATTCATTCACTTTTTCCGTTCGTGATATTCATCATGAAAAAGAAATTCACGAACAAATTAATCCTCAGGGTACAGTCACTCTTCGCCTATGGCCTGCTGAAATCATACCGCAAACAAACACAATTTATTTGTGGCAGGGTGAAGAGTGGACCCATTTGAACAGGAATCATGTGAACATCACTTTACGTAGCCGAATGAACCAAACATTTACAAGCGATTCAGTCAAACCGGAATGGCTTTGGTTAACCGTTGTTCATCCGCCTTTGTTTGGTCGACTCTTCTTAGACACCCTCCCGGTGCTTAGATTTACCTTTGAGGATCTGACAAGTGGTAGGATGAGCTATCAGCAATTCAGTAAAGCTTCTCCCACAGACTCCATGGTCATTCGACTGGAAGTTGATCCTTGGAAGTCACCCTCGAAGCGACTCCACGACATGCTCACTGGATATCGTTCGCTAACACTGCCAAATGAGAAGCATTTGTTTTCTGAATTCTCCCTCTACGTTGAAGTGAAACCTCGAATTAATTTAGGCGATCTGGTGGTTGAACCAGGTGCCCGAATTACTGTGGGAAAAGAAGTATTCAACACAAGTGCCCTATGGAATCTAATTCGGCAGACGACCAATGTAAATAAAGACGTCACTTCTGATGTTTCCCCAATAGTTACTTTCCCTACTGCTACTCAACTACGGCTAGGAAGATTTATTGTGAATGGGGAAGTAGTGGTTGCCACAGGCTACCCTGATGAGGAGTTATCACCAACCGTAAACATTACGCTGGACTCATTTGATAGAGGTGAAGTCAAATTTGAATCCTATCACCTGCCGGATTTACAATTTAAAAATAAAAATGAATTGGAGGAACAAATTGGTTTCATACTCTGGGCAGGTCCTCAAATCCAGCCAGCTCGTGGTTCTATTACTGCACGAATCCGTCGGGAC